CGGTGGGGAAAGGGTATTGGGACGCGGCGATGGTGACGTGGTCGCCCTGGCGGAGCTCCACGCGGCCCTTGCCGTCGAAGGCGCAGTAGGCGGTTGCGCGCGACTTGAGGGGGACCGCGATGCGGAGAAGCATGCTGTCGTTGAGGAGCATGGGGCGGAAGGAGAGGGTGTGCGGGCAGATGGGGGTGAGGAGGATGGCGGGGATGTCTGGGTGCACGAGCGAGCCGCCTGCGGAGAGGGAGTAGGCGGTCGAGCCGGTGGGCGTGGAGAAGATGACGCCGTCGGCTTGGACTACGGTCAGCAGGTTGTTGTCGCCGTAGAGCTCGAGGTTCGAGACGTAGGGCGATGGGCCGCGGTCGATGACGAGCTCGTTGAGGACCTCGAATTGCTCGGCTTCAATGTGCGAGGGTGAGCCTTGGGCCGCGGCGTTCTTCTGGTACCGGTACACAGTGCATGTGAAGCGCATGCGCAGGTTTACGCGCATACCCGTTTCGCACATGATCTTGTCGAGCGCGGGCCTGTACTGTGCGAACTCGAAGTTGGTGAGGAATCCGAGGCTGCCGAGTGAGAAGGAGAGGATCGGTGGCACGATGCGCTGGAAGAGCCACGAGGTGAAGAGGACGGTGCCGTCTCCACCTAGAGTAAGGACAAGGTCGAAGATCTCAGGGGTTTCCCAGCATAGATCTGGTGTCCACCAGCGAAGCATGTTCTCGTAGCGCTTGTCCTTGGCCAACAGTGAGGCTGCGTCGAATCGCTTCGACTTGCGCAGCTTGTGGTCTACGTAGACATTCACTCCCACGTCCGAGCCGTAGCGCGAGGTCGTCATGAGCCATTCTGCCAATTCGCGCGTGAGGTATACGAGGTTGTTATCACGCGCCTTGGTGACAATCATGACATTGCGCACCGTCATCTTGATGGGTCGGCGCTGCAACTGCTTCGAAACCTCACGGACGCTGTTCGCGGTCTGCATGAGCCTCGAATGCGATATCGTGTCGTCCTCGGCATCGCCCATCTCTTCCATGACCTTTCCAAGGTTCACGGCCTTGTCAAACTTCTTGTGGAAAAAGCATGGTGATGCGAGCGCAGCCATCTTGCTGGCGGAAAGGTCGGCCGAGTGCAGTTCCAGCTCGTTGAGCGCCTTTGCGAGTTGCGAGTGCGTGATGCTCTTTGAGCGCGCACTCTTTCCTGCGCTCTCCATTATGGCGGTGTCCATGGACTGTGACGTCGACGATGGTGGTGGCCGAGACTGCAACGCCTTAAGAATGGTCTGGCGGGGGATCGCAGAGTCGATGGAGCAGGCGTTCTTGCGGTGCTTCCGGATGCGATGCTCGCCGAAAGAGGGCACGCGCGGGAGGACGGAGAGGTTCTCGATGGACGAGGACTTGGTGATAACGGTGGGGTCGTCGTTGCGGGAGGATTCGTCCGAGGTCAGACTGGCTGGATCTTGTGTTGCAGCGGGCGTACCGCCAATTTCTTGCGTTACTACCGATGCATTATACGGCGCGTCCTGGGGGCAGTGGACGCTGGTCTGCGGAGGCTGTGGAGACTCTGGGCGGGTGGGATTATTAAATGAGGCATCGGCATCGACGGGGTTAAGGTCGGAGAAACTTGAGTTGGGCGCCTGTGGGGACAGGAGCGGATGAACCTTGGCCGGACTAAACGGCTCCCCATTCTGGTATGTTGCCGATAACATCGTCGCTTGATTCTGTCTTAGTGATCGAGCTTCGTTAAGCGCGCTTGGTGTGCAGGTTGGCGAGTGCGATATTAATCGGCGTCGTTATTCGGGTGCGGCGGCAAGTATGTTCGCAAAGTATGTACAGCGAAAGATGAACGTATCCAGACAGTTCGGTCAAAGGTAATAAATGCTCCAGGCAAAATGAAAAGGAGAGGAAGGAAGCGAGGGATTGTACTACTGCATGGGCGCGAGTCGTAACGATGTGTGATGGCTGCTAACGGTGATCGTGTAACCCGTCGTGGAAGTAAAGATTATATTGAAGGAAGAGCCCGGCTCGACCTTGTACAAAAAAGAAGAAAAGGGAGACGTGAAGTGTGCACGACGATGTCGTGGCCGAAAGAGCGAAGGCGCAGGTGGGGAAAGAAGGTGGTGCAGCTTGAGGCAGGTATTAGGCACGATGCGAGACCTACTATATTCACTCTCCGTCTCAATGACATCTCTGCCACCGCCATTATGGAGCAGTGCCACATCACGATCCCATGCGCCAGCCTCAAACCAAAGATTCCGCCATCTGTAGCGGCTAGCCCGCCGGCAACGTTGTGACACTTCGCGTGTCACAAACTCGTGGGTCCACGCCGGAGCATCTGCCAAACATAGAACGACGCTTCACCCCAAACCGCGATCTTGACACAGATCACAACGGCCCAGAAGTTCCTGTCATCCTGTCTTCGCAGGCACGCTCCACAGCATGGCCACACCGCTGGATTGACAGAATCCTTCGATGACCCTGAGGTTCATGGTCGAGAAGCGCTCGCTCACCGACGGGTCTCAGCTATCGGATCATATCGACACCCTCCGTGTTTGATCCACACTTCGTTTACAAAGCCACAGCGGGTACTACAGTCAAGGGGAATTGTAATCGTGATTCAGTACGAATCGCATCACCGCAAAAGTTATGCCATCTGTCGGCTGTACTAGCGAAATCATTTGGAGGACGAAACGACCCAACGTGGCCTAGTCCGCAGCCAACAGTAATCGGTTGCTTCGAATCTTCATCTGGTACAGGAGAGTTTTAGACGAGACAGCTCACTCCTCGCTAAATGTAGACCTCTTTGACACGTCTACCGGGCGATTGCGGACTGCATGACATTGCTGCCGTTAGTACCGATGGCCCACAGACCTCATACGCCACGCATGGCTAAGACATGGAATGGAAATGTGGCAAGCGTGTACGGCACATGTCGCGTGGAAAATTGAGTGAAGTGGGCTCATAACCGCTACCGACATGGTTGCAGGGCCCGTCTCCGTGTCGTTCCCGTCCACTCACAGGCCAGCGACTGTGTGTTTGCCTCAGAACTCAAGCTGGTTGCTGAAACTCGCGCATGATAACAGCCTGCCCAGGCACCATTTCTCACTAAGCGTCCGAGAGCCTCAACTGCCGATGTCCTGGAAGCTGGACACATTGTTGTGCGCTGGCAAGTGGGGTGCGGTCCGAAGCGCAAGAAGTAACCAGGCGCTTGTGGCTGTCATGTCGCCGGCTTGGTGTAGAACGTTAGTAGTTAGCAGAACAATCATGCCTGAGCGTATGCAGTCGAAAGTATCGATGTTTCGTTGGGTATGACTTTACAGTCTTTTGATATTCATCACATATCGTGGTATCTAGTGAGGTCGTAACGAAAAGAAATTCGACAAGCCAGACGCTTATTGGAGAGCCTTGCGAGCAAAGGTGGGCAGAACGAAAGCCGCCTCGTGGATCTCCTTGCTGTAGTACCTGCAAAGCTGCTCCTCCTCTTCGGTAGACCAGCTGCGAAGGGGCTTCTTGAGGTCGCGGTTGGCGTCCTTGCTGCAGACCATGAAACCGATCTGGCCGGAGGGGTAGGTGGGGATGGTGGTGTAACCGTACTCGACGTTGGGGAAGACCTCCTTGCAAGCCTTCTTGAGGTTGACAATGAGGGGCATGTGAAGCCATTGGTTCTCGGCTATACAAGAATGTTAGCCATTGACCAAAGCAGCACCTTTCCGGCGCATGGCGGTCGAAAAGTGGACGTGAACTGAGCGGACTAGGAGAGGGCTTACAACCTTGGGTGGTAATGACACCGCCTTCGCGGAGCGCACCGTTGAGCAACTCGAAGTAGGACTTCTGGAAGAGAGCCTCGGCGGGACCCTCTGGGTCGCTGGAGTCGGTGATGATGACGTCGAACTCGCCCTTCTTGTCCTCGAGGAACTTGAAGCCGTCGCCGACGATGGTGGTGGTCTTGGGGTGCTCGAAGCCGACAGACATGCCGGGGAGGTATTGCTTGGAGAGGCGGATGACAGCCTCGTCGATGTCGCAGAGGGTGGCCTCCTTAACGCAGTCGTGCTTGACGACCTCACGGAGGACACCACCGTCACCACCGCCGATGACCAAGACCTTCTCGGGGTTGGGGTGGGCGTTCATGGCCAAGTGGGTGATCATCTCCTGGTATCTGTTCTACTATCAACCATTGTCCGCGTCTTGCCATAGGGTTGTGACGTACGAGAACTCATCGCGCTCGGTGCATTGGATGACGTTGTCGAGGACGAGGACGGTGCCGTAGTTGGTCGACTCGAAGATGAGGACGTCCTGGTACTTGCTCTTCTCGTGGTGAAGAACCTCCTTGACCTGGAGGGTCATGGCCTGGCCGGGCCACATGCCGGAGATCTCGCGGAACCAGCCATCTATACCGAATGTCAGCAATTGAAAGGGTGTGGTTGTATGACTGCTTCAAAAGTCGACTTCACTTACCCTTGATGGTAGGGTGTTCAATGGCAGGCATCTTGAAGGATTTGTGTGTAGAAAAAGGAGTATAGAGTAAAGGTGATCTACGGGAGTAAACAGAAGATTGACAGAGCTGTCGCCGGATATATATGGGGACCTTCAGGTTGGCGGAGTTTTTGCTGGTGTTTGCGTTGGGCACAATTTTCTAGGCCTATGCACGTCACTGGTCGCGCGCGCCGTACCTGCCCCGCCATCCCCCACCATCATCCCGGGAAGGTCCAGCCGCAAGGCATCTATATTGGGTAGCATTATCTCCATCTCACGTCTGCACTTCATGCTGCCATCCCACGTCCCTCCTTTGCGTGATTTTCGCGGGCATACGGCGCGGATGCGACACCGAGTTGATGTAGAGGGTGGCTAAAGCAGTGCTGACAACGAGGGCGGCCGTCAGCCTGCAAGGTTCATACTAACACGCAAATGGGTGTAGACTGCAGGTAGGAGGAGCATAAAGAGCCGGGACGCAACGCTCGCAATGAGATCAACACGTAGTTTCATTACCACTGGGTATCACTCAGAAGCGGCCCAAACATGACCGAAGTCGTCCCAGTGCAAGACCCAGCCCAGGAGGAGCGCAGCAGAGTAGAGCAAGTTGTCGCGACCAAGGCATATGTGAAGGATCCTGAGCTACTACCATGGTACACGAAGCAACTTGAAGAGCCTAGTCCGGAAACGAGAGATCTGTTCGAAAGTTACAGCAGGGTGCCAGCAGCGGACATCATCACGCACATCAAACGTGTGAGAGATGAAGCATTCTCGGTCGTGAGTCTAGTCTGCCATACATAACAATAGCGAGCTGTACTGACGACCTTGCAGTTCCCGTATCCTTGCTTGGGAAATTGGGGGTTCTTGAACTTTTCCATCGAGAAGAACCCGGCCTACCAGGAAGTCCTCAGTCGCATCAAGGACGGGGAGCAGTTCCTCGACCTTGGATGTTGTATGGGCCAGGACATCCGCAAGCTGGTCCACAACGGCGCGCCCTCCGAGAACACGTACGCGTCCGATGTCAAAACAGACTTCTGGGGCTTTGGCTATGATCTGTTTCTCGACAAGTCGACTCTGCAGACACAGTTCATGGAAGCCGACATTTTCGACGCCAACTCGGAGCTGAAACAGGTAGACGGCAAGATCGACATGGTCAATGCCGCCTCGTTCTTCCACCTGTTCGATTGGGACGGTCAGGTCAAAGCAGCTAAGCGCGTGGTCCAACTGTTGAGGCCAGTGGCTGGAAGTCTCATCGTTGGACGCCAAGGTGGCAAGCCCGAAGCCGGCAGCTTCTCACACCTCATGAAAGAGCAGACTGCTTTTTGGCACAATCCAGAGTCCTGGGCGAGCATGTGGAAGCAGGTCGGGGAGAAAACTGGAACGGAATGGAAGGCTGAAGCTGTGCTTGGTGAAGAAGATCTATCGAAGAGGATGAAGACGACGCTTGTGCCTGCCGGTACAAGGTTCATGACCTTTACTGTACGTCGGGTGTAGCGGCTTGCCGTTAGGGGTAGTATTTGGTGTGATAGATACAGTCATTGGTTCACATACATTTGTATGCATCTCCCTCTATCTGATGACATGATGGTGGCTGCCACATGGGGATTGCGGAGCAGCAGCCAATGAGCGGCATCCAGGGTCCGAGCCGACAGGCCAAACTCAATCTGGCTTCAACACCATTGCATCTCCAATCCATAGCCCATTGATACCAAATCTTCCCGTCGCTCACTCAATAAAACTACTTCACACATACTCCCATCATGGACCCCTACTCGCCCGAAGGAGGTTCGTCAAATCGCCAGCCACGCCAGCTCAAGCCCCGCTAACACCTATCCAGAGCTCATAAACATCCACTCGGCCTTCCATGCCGGCGCCTACCAGCAAGTCCTCGATTTCGACACGTCGTCCTTTTCCGCGTCAAATGCGCTGCCCGTTCGCGTCCTCAAACTCCGCAGCCAAATCGCGCTGGGCCAAGCACAAGCCGTTTCCAGCGAGCTCGCATCCGAGAAGACTCCAGATCTGGTCGCAGTAAAGCTGCTAGCAGACTGTGAGCAGGGCAAAGACGTAGTGGACCAGGCGAAGAAGCTGGCAGAGCAACATGGACAGGAGAACCTGACAGTGCAGCTTTGCGCGGGCATCGTCTTGGAGAGGGCGGGCGAGACGGAGGCTGCGCTTGATGTGCTGAGCAAGCACCAGGGCAGTCTGGATGCGTACGTTAACAGTCCTTTTGCATGGACTATTTTGGGCAATCACGGCTAACATTTGGACAGCGTAGCACTCATTGTACAGATTCACCTCCAACAAAACCGCACAGATCTGGCCGCGAAAGAGGCCCAGCGCGCACGGAAATGGGCACAAGACAGTCTGCTAGTCAACATTGCTGAGAGCTGGGTTGGCATGCGCGAGGTAGGTTCCCTAATACATCATTGTCACATGTCATGGCACTAACACCACTCAGGGCGGCGAGAAGTATCAGTCCGCATTCTACGTCTTCGAAGAACTAGCCACAACCGCTCAATCCACCTCCCCACACTCGCTCGTCGCACAGGCCGTATCGGAAATCCACCTCGGCCGCCTCCCAGAAGCCGAAGCCGCTCTCCAACAAGCCATTTCCATCGACGGCACCTCGGCCGACACAATCGCAAACCTCATCGTCCTCAACACATTGCTTGGAAAGAAGGAAGAGACTGAACAACTAAAGTCACAGCTGCAAACCTCCGCCCCACAGCACAGGGCAGTCGCAGATTGGGCGAGCAAGAAGGCCGAATTTGCCAGTGCCGCCGCAAAGTACACACCAAAGTTCGAGGTTGCTTCATAGGAGGAGGATGCCTTTGCGCACTTGGTGTCTACAGGAGTGGCGTATCAAGACGTGGATGCTATGGAACGTGAGCCCAATATCAGGCCTGGAGCGACCACATTCGACGGCGCTACTTAGGAAAAGCGGAATGCCACGACTGTGGAACGAAATATCACGAATATGTTTAAGCATCCGACGGTGCAAGACTTGAAGGCTGCCGGTACGTGGGCATCCGATAGCGATGATGAAAATGAGGCATATCGTAAGAAAAAATAGACGACATTGCAAGCATGTTATATTCATACCTTCATGGGTTAAAGCGGTATAATAAAAACAGAGAAGCACTCGTCGTGTCTTCAACGCGCTGATATTTCAGACAAAGTAAGATTGACGAAGTACAACTCGATGAGTATTTACACCTAGAAAAGATCGAGATCTTCAACTGGCACAAAAGCCGCACCCTCACCTAGCCCCTTCGTCATCTCGCCATACATGATACCATCCACATAAGTCTCACCAATAAGCTGATACCCCTTCTCAAGCGGTCTCAATACCACCGGCACCTTACAACCCAGCAGCACAGCCACCTTATCCCCAGGCTCTACAGTAGAAGACCCAACCCCAAGATAACCCCCCTCAGTCGTGTAAACAAACCTCTCATAGCAGACCTGCCCAGCACTATGCTCAAGCGCAGTCCACAACGGATGAAACGGCGCCGAGACCGAGAAATCAAATCCCTCTGTTTCATTAGAGCCTTCTTGGGAACTCGACGCCCGCGCTTTATTTTGTGCATCTACCAAACCAGCCTCAACATGCTCATGTAACTCGACGCCATCCAGCTTGAGATTTCGCATACTGCGCCACGCGCGCTCGAAACCTGACGCTCGCATGTAGAAGGGAAGAGGCCGATCGAGAGTGTTGTCAGCTTCATACGGTGCCGTCGTGTCCCTCAGCTCATGCCACCGTTTCGCGAAGACGGTTTTGAATTCAGGAGGAGGTGGGCCCCACGCACCCATGCGATTCGTATTCGCAGTCACCGTCCTGACCAACGCTCCAAAGGCAGCGATTTGTGTTCCGTACGCGTTCTTCTTGCATCGCGATTGGCGGAGAGACGTCGGTCTGTCTGTCCACCATGGATCGCCTGCGACGCCGTCTACCGTATCGATGACGACTCCTTTACACCTCAGAAAGATACCCGGTTCGATCCTGTCGCTCGAAATAGTCGCAATAGCCGCCGCGCCACTCGCCGCATCGAAGAACGGCCACTGCTTCCCCGTGTACAGCGAAGTAAGCATATACTGCGGTTTCGAAGGCCCCCAATCCGGGAGCCAAGAAGGGAGCGCATGATACGCCCTCGGTTGCATACCCGCGAGACAAACAACATAGAGATCTTGCTTCTGCTTGATGAACTCTTTCAGGAACGTGAACCAGATGTCCTCCGCCTTGGCGTCGTAATCCGGCGGACACAACTCAATCAATTCGCGTCCACTGAGTCCAATCTTGGCAAATAGGTGATCCCGCGGGTCCGTCGCGTTGGTCAGTCGGGTCATCTGCAGTGTGGCCAAGGCGGAAAGCTGTTCGCCTTCTTGCAGACGCCGGCGTAGGTTCATTAGGTTTCTGGCTGGGTCGAGCACGCGCGGGTTGATGTCTACGGCTCGTGTGAGAGCGGTGACGCGCTCGTTCTTTGAGGGCGTGAATTCCATGAAGATGAGGTGGTCGGCTGCTTCTAGGGCGTCGGCGGAGAGGCGACGCGTGCCGCAGATGAAGACGACGTCTTTGGCTAGGGCGAACTCTTGTACTATCCTGAGGTGGGTGGACGAAGTCAGTCAATGGCTCATATGCTGTTTGTACAGAGGAAGTACCAACCATGCTCTTTTCCACCAGTTTCGCGCCATTAGGGCCCGTAGGCCTTCCCATGTGGGGTATGTATCCGGATGCATGCCTTCGTTTCCAAGCCACGGTCCGATACCCTCCTCGTTAGAACGACTAGCTAGGTTGGCGAGAAAGTCCATGGCCAGGTTACTGCCTTTTGCAGGCGGACCCAGCCATGCCCACACATTCGTCGCGTTGGAGAAGATTTGCCGCATGAGCGTGACTTGGATGTTGCGCTCGGGTATGTTGTTCTGGTCTATACACAGGGCATCCGCCCAGATACACTGCGGGACTTCGAGACGGATAGACCGCAGTGCTTTGGCTAGGTTCTGGTGGAGGAACGTCTCGTGTCCATCCACATCCACGGATTCGAGCAAATCATCGTTGTCGTCGTTGCCTTCTAGCTTGGACGCCCACGTATACGAAAGCGCTGCGTAGGATGCTTCTGGGTGTTCTACGTTGTCGTGGAAGACGTGCACCCGCAGTGGGGCGGTTATTGATACGGCAGGGATGAGGATTAGCAGCCGAAACTCTTTCTCCGCTAGAGGTCGGTACTCTAGTAGCGAAGACATTATGGTCGCCGCGGAGCTTGCGGTATGCTAGGGGTTGGTCATTGCTTCTAAACCCGGGTTTCTGGAAGGCCGGTCTTTAAACTAGGTCAAAATCTTGGTGTCGGCTAGCTGTTTGCGTAGGAATGCTCAAGTGCTGACGGGCGCAAGTGGTGTGATGTCACAAACAGGTGCAATACCAAGAACTGCCTGCGTTCAGCCTTACCAGCATAGAAGGATCATTGAATGAGAGAGCGTATGAAGCCACAGTTGTTAAGACTCGATGTACCTAGTATTTTTCCGTTGGGTTGTGGTGAAGTTGATAGATGATGCTATAGTGATGTTTACCCCACAGTGACTGTGAAGGACCCTGGTGCACGAGCCACCCGGGTACGGATTAGATATCGCGCAAGGCTGAAGGGTATCTTCGCCCCCACACTCTTCTTGTATCTGTAATCAGTTTAGTCCAACAGTTCCAAGCTGGCGATGGAAGTGAATCGTCTCTTGAATTGGAGGGCTCGATACGAACACGGTCAAACAGCCTGCGCTCCATAGTCGTACGCGCGAGATGCTCCTCATCCAGCACGAGGAGTACACACTTCGATGGCTACCATTGCAGTCGACTCTGGGGACTAGATAGACTTGACAAACTCTGACGATCAGTTCCTTTGTGAGCTGAGAGGCTCGCGTGAGGCTTTGGAAGTAGTACCTGGGTAAGTTGACAGCAAGATCTTAGCCTGAACAATACATGATACACCGACACTATATGGCGTACATGCTCATAGACATGACTATGCCGGTTCATTTCAGTATAGTGAGTGTACAAGGCCTTGAGACCATTCAGAGAGGTATCAGTAAGGCCACCTACTACCAGCCTATTCCCAAATTCCGCGCCCTCGCCAAAGATACGTAGCCTCAGGCACGCCGCCAGACTACTAAGATCACCACCACACCGCGCGAACAAACACCGCGTCGGCCCCGCGTCTGCGAAAAAAGGCGGATCCAAATAGACACGCAAGATCCACGTGAAGCGATTAGATAGATAATCTTAGAACATCCGCATGCTCGCGCCGCCACGCCCGAGCGGTCAACGGCATGCGCAATTTTTACCAAAACCCTTGCATACAACAGGATCCTATGTACGTGCCGTGCATACGGGAAAGTCATCTTCCTGACAGCAACCCGTGCGGCATGCGTGCGCAGCTGCACGCAAGGCAAGCCAGCCAGGACCTGATCGACGCGCCACGCGCATTTAGCGGTAGATCAACCACGGCACCGGATCAGATGGAATTTCACCACCTTCGCCTGTCACCGCAGTCCGAAAAGACCATTTCTCCGGGCGCTTGAAAGACGCATAAAGAGCGCGTAGGAAGGGATAATCCCACTTCTACTAATAACACATCATACAATCGCGTTATCTGACACGCAACTTGCTGAGACAAGGGGGGTTGCATACCTGCAACTCCAACTGTTAGTGGCGCCCGGGAGCTGATACATCCGGAGCTCGACAGCTCCATCTTGGAACGAAGCTTAGCCTGGCTTGCCAGCCAATGCGGGACAGGCTGTGTCTCCATCCGTCTGCAATTTGCAGCTACCTATGCCCGTTGCGGTAATGTGGGTGGCTGATTCTGGGACGGATTCGGTATCCTGGAGTGCGGTTGTGTGGGTTGGGATGATGGGTCCTGCTGCACGGCGCATTTTTGCTGTGTGTTGCGGCCAGAGAGGGCGCGTTCGGCGGCCGAACGTAGGGAATGGGTCGTAGAGATCCCGCGCCGCAAATTTGCCTTGCGGGTGGATGTGTGGAGAGGGAGATTGTGTGTTTGTTTGCCGTTATAGATCTGTATCTTTTGTCCTTACGTTGAAGTTGCGCATACGTTCGTTCGTCGTTGTCCTTCGCTGTACATTCCCCGAATACCACGCTACCCCGAAGTCTCCGCTCCGTCCGCTTTCGGAACCGCCACGCTAGAAGCACATCGTCATGTCTGAGGTTAGGGTAGACACCGACAGCGCGTTCGACGTGCAAACACCATTGCTCGAGAAGAAAAAGATGGTTGTAGGAGTACCGCCGGTGTTTGAGAGCCTCACGAAGCAGCTCGACAAGATTGTAGAGCAGCCACTACTCGGCCCGAAGACCAAGTTCCCCGCAGGTAGGAACCCTACTGAGTTCTGGTGGCGAATGTAAATTGACCAGCTGGATAGCTACGTTTGCGTTTGCGCGTAAAGATGTGTCAGGCAGGCGGCTACCGCAGGCTATTGCCCATCGAGGGTACATGGCTAAGCACCCCGAGAACACTATGGCCTCGTTAAGAGGAGCAGTCGAGGCGGGCGCAGATGCTCTTGAGACAGACATACATCTGACGAAAGATGGTGTAGTCGTATTGTCGCATGTGAGTTAATCAAAACTTACCCCGATCGTATACTGACTATTCTGTAGGACAGAAACCTGAGAAGATGCTTTGGCAGGCCCGAAAAAGTTATAGATTGCGACTATGAGTTTATAAGCAAGCTGAGAACGCTGCAAGCACCTCATGAGCCGATGCCTCGTCTTATTGATTTGCTCGAATATCTTGCGCAACCTGGATTGGAAGACATTTGGGTCTTGCTCGATATCAAGGTATGTTGTACTAGCCGAGTTGTACAAGCACTTGCTGACGCGATACAGCTCGATAACGATGCGGACGATGTGATGCGCTTGATTGGTGAAACAATCAACAGCGTACCTGCTTCTCCCTCCAGACCGTGGAGTAAGCGCATTGTGCTTGGGTGCTGGGCAGCCAAGTTTCTTCCGCTGTGTTCGCGATATCTGCCCGGCTTCTCGATTTCGCATATTGGCTTCTCAACACTCATTGCGTCACATTTCTTCAGTGTGCCGAATGTCTCGTCCAATATGGCCCAGGCCATTCTGATGACGCCATGGGGCAGGATGTTCATACGGCGAGCTCAGAGCGACGGTCGGCCCGTGTACGGATGGACGGTGAACTCGGAGAGCCGGATGCGTTGGGACATACGGCAGGGCCTCGACGGCGTGGTGACGGACGATCCGAAGCTATTTCTGGAGATTCGGAGGTCATGGCACGAGGGGACCAAGGATGGCGTGACGATATTGATGTGGCTGGATGTGCTTCGGTACAACTTCTTCTGCATGATCTATACCTTCTTGTTCCAGTGTTATTTTGGGTTCCAGGGCAAGTCGTTAGTCAGGATAAGGGAAGAAGAGGAGGAGCAATAGACTAAGTACGCGAATATCAAGAACAACATTCAGAAGATATAGTGCCGTCGTGAGAGTGGCGAGTATCTGGATTGGCATGGTGGAGTCACCTTATGCAAGAAAAAAGCCGAACAGGTCTAGAGCCTACATCGACGCTAGGTCACCTATCTTGTAGGTTTTCACGTCGATGTAGGCTGCAGGCCTGTTCAGTATTTTTCTTAGTTGACGTGGAGTGAAGGCCATGGTGTTGGGTGGTATTGCGTGGGGAGCTATGACGGCAGGGTCCAAACATTTGGCGACCCGACGCGTGCACCCCGCCCAGAGCGCGTTCGCATCCCACCACGTCGCTGACCACCACCACCATGCCTAGGTATGCGCGCGTATATCTCAGACTGCGGTCACATGGTGTAGCTAATCGGAATCAGAGAAATAATAACACTGCAGGCGGGCCAGTGCGGCAACAGCGTCGGGCAGCAGTTCTGGCAGCAGCTGTGCCAGGAACACGGCATCAACCGCGACGGCAACCTCGAGGACTTCGCGACCGAGGGCGGCGACCGCAAAGACGTATTCTTCTACCAGTCCGACGACACCCGCTACATCCCCCGCGCCATTCTTTTAGATCTCGAGCCCAGAGTGCTGCACTCGATCCAGTCGAGCGCCTACAAGAACATCTACAACCCCGAAAACTTCTACATACACAAGGATGGCACCGGCGCCGGCAACAACTGGGGCATGGGCTACAGTATGGGCGAGCAGGTGCACGAGGACATCCTGGACATGATTGATCGCGAGGCAGACGGCTCTGACTCGCTCGAGGGCTTCATGATGCTGCACTCCATCGCTGGCGGCACAGGATCGGGTCTTGGCTCCTACATGCTCGAACGCCTCAACGACAGGTTCCCCAAGAAGCTCATCCAGACCTACAGTGTCTTCCCCAACACGCAGGACGGCGACATAGTGGTCCAGCCATACAACAGTCTGCTGAGCATGAGACGGCTGACGCAGAATGCAGACTCCGTGGTAAGCTGCCCAGTGTACTTGCCCAGTGTACTTGCATATATTCATACTGACCTCCCAGGTTGTCCTCGACAACGGAGCCTTGACTAGAATCGCTGCAGACCGACTGCACGTTATGAACCCGTCGTTCGAGCAGACCAACCAGCTGGTGTCCACCGTCATGTCTGCCAGTACCACGACCCTTCGCTACCCCGGATACATGCACAACGATCTCGTTGGAATCGTCGCATCGCTCATTCCCACACCGCGCTGTCACTTCCTCATGACTTCATACACCCCCTTCTCTGGCGAGAACGTAGAGCAGGCCAAGACGGTTCGCAAGACAACCGTCTTGGACGTCATGAGACGACTGTTGCAGCCTAAGAACCGCATGGTCTCCACCAACCCCACCAAGAAGAGCTGCTACATGTCTATCCTGAACATCATCCAGGGAGAAGCGGATCCCTCAGATGTATGTCTCTTCCTATTGGCAGCTTGAATCCAGCTCACTGACTATTCAGGTACACAAATCGCTCATGCGCATTCGCGAACGACGTCTCGCTACCTTTATACCCTGGGGCCCCGCTTCCATTCAAGTCGCGCTGACCAAGAAGTCGCCCTACGTGACCTCCTCGCACCGCGTCTCCGGACTCATGCTTGCAAATCACACGGGTATCGCCACGCTCTTCAAGCGCATAGTCGCACAATACTCCACCCTGCGTAAACGCAACGCCTTCCTTGAAAGCTACAAGCGTGAAGTGCCCTTCAAGGATGGTCTCGGCGAGTTCGACGAAGCTAAGGAAGTCGTTCAGGGTCTGATTGCAGAATACGAAGAGGCTGAGGATGCCGACTACTTGACCAAAGAGACGGCGCCGCCTGCAGATGAGGAAGCTGACAAGAGAGTCGGCTAGAAGTCACCTGAGCAATTATTGGATTTGGCATCGGCGTCATTGGATGGTGCAGTGGAGTCAAGGGTACCCGACTTTCAAGTCTATTTCGCGGCGTTGGCGGACATGCAACGTAGGCTACAGACCTACCGTGGTTCTGGAGTTTATAGTCTTCCACATTCTTCGAATCGTCGTAGCGACTGTGGTCATCATGGTGGGAGATATCACGGCTCTTGCTAGTTCTGTAAGGGCAGACTTCTTTGAAGAGAACGTCAGGAGTTTGTATGGTAGCGAGCGCAAGATAATCGATCCATCGAGGTCTACCACGGATCGCTCATTCAAGAAATCAATCCGCTGACTGTATGGTTGTAGGCATGTAGCAGATTCACCGTGGTACCGTGACTGGAAAGCTGTGGTGTTGTCATTCTCTTGCATCTCTATTGCTGACCCAAATCACTTCAATGGAAACAACCACAGGTCAGTGCGTTGGATTCCACAAGTGAACAGCAAGGCTTCACTTCTATACGTATAAAGTGTACGCAGTCCTCTCCGCATAAAATACGTCGTAGTAAGTCAGCTGTGCCTACTCGCCTACGACTACACTCACTACCAAATCAACCAACCACAGAAATACACAACACCCCGTAGGAACAGCCCAAGACACCAAAACTTTCCCCCCAAAATGTTCGCGTTGAGCATCCGCTCCATCACCAACTCCAGAGTCGTTGGCCCCCTAGCCATCTTCGCCCTGTCCACACAAACCCGCACCCTTTACTTCTGCGGTCCCAAGCAAGGCGATCACGATGCCGACCTACCCATCTCCGAACACTACCACGCCCGTCTACGAGCATCATCGGATCTAAAACCGAGATCCACCGCGGACTCGGCACCAAGCACTACGCCTACCCGTCCTACTCCTCCTTCACCCACTCAGCCTACTACCACTACAACAGACACAATCCCCACCCTTCGTATCTCCGTCACGCACGCACCACCAAATATGTCAGCCCGGCATACAATGCCGTCTGCCAACAAGCACGAGATCGAGAATTTCAGGAAGGCGTTTGGGCAGATGGAGGCGGCTACTCACGATGTGGATACATACTACAACAACACGCTTGCCATTATCCAGGAGATTGCAAGGCTCACGTTTGAGCTGAGGAGGGGCCAGGTAGAGGGGAAGTCTTTTGAGGAGCTGGAGAAGATTAGGAGGGAGATTGAGGATTTGAGGTGTGTGTTTGAGAGGATTGGGAGGAGGTGGGGTATCTAGGCTTCATGTTGACCAAGAAAAAGAAAACGGAACAGGTTTGTAGTTTACATTAACATGTAAGCGTACAAGATAGATGGCCTAGCGTTGATGTAGGCTCTAGACCTGTTCAGTCTTTTTTGTATGAGGTGTTGAGGAATATAGGGCGGTGTTGGAGATTGTGGACATGTGTGGTTTTATAAAGATTGGTCGTGCAGTAGCTTGGAGGGAGTCATGAGATCACCATGAAAGTCATGTTTGAACAGGAATGAACGTTCTTCGAAACTAAACCAGAATGCAAAACGATGAGTGGTATACAGCACATTTCCCACCTCCTTCCAACGCAAGAACAACGCCTCTCCAAGCCTCACTTCTCTCCATCTTCACTGAACAATCATCCCCCTCACGCCCCATCCTTATAACCCAACCCCCCAGCCTTAACATCAAACTCAATCAACTCATCCAACCCACAAACCTGAAACAACTCCCTTGGCCCATACCTCTTCCCATCCCCCTCCACACTCTCCACATGCCCCGCCTTCATCTGCTGCACCGCCCTCCTAACCGCAGGATACACAACCTCGCACGCCAGCAGCGGGAAAATAGCAAGTTTATACCCCATGGTCTTGCATTCTTCGACCGAGAAATCAGGGGATACGCCACCGGGGACGCTGTTGAAGAGACAAGGCGTGGGAGAAAGATCGGAGCATATGCGCTGCGCGTCTGAGGCTGTCGTCACGCCTTCCAGGAACGCCATGTCTGCGCCTTGAGCGACTGCCGCACGGAGACGGCGTAGTGCTTCTTCGTACCCGAAACCCTGCAACGCGTCCGTTCGAGCGATGATGACGATGTCGCCGCCACTTGCCTCCCGCGCTAACCTCGCAGCCCGGATCCGCGCTTCAAACTCCTCGATGTCGACGAGTTGCTTGCCGTTGAGGTGCCCGCACCGCTTACTCACGATTTGGTCTTCGAGGTGCAGGCCGGCGACGCCCGCGCGGATGTACGAGGTTACTGTCCGGCCGACCATGACGGGCCCGCCGTAGCCGGTGTCTGCGTCGGCGATTAGGGGGGTCGACGGCGAGAGCGAGGCGAGCATGCTGGCGTTGGTGAGCATGTCTGTGAAGGTGGCTATGCCCATGTCGGCGGCGCCGAGGCGGGACATTGTTGTTCCTGCGCCTGTCTGGACATGTGTTAGTTGGGTTGGTTTGGTGTTGTCTGATATCGTGAGGGGGATGTTGGTGGATATGGAGATGGGGAGATGGGGGAGACGTACCATGTATAGACAGTCTACGCCTTCTTGGAGAGCTATCCGCGCTGTGAAGCCGTCGTATACTCCGGGACAGGATAGGAACTTGTTTGGATCCGCGAGCATGCTTCGCAGTTTCTCGACGGCCGTCATCTTCCTTTCTGTTTGTCCTGCTTTGCTGGATCCCATATTGCCTTCTCTTCTTTCGCTTTGATAATGCCGATAACAACGATAACCCGACTCTTTACTGTGCACGCGCAACCAACTCTTTCTTAATACCAAAAGCAGCAAATGCAATCTGTTCAAGGGGTATAGTGTCCTCGTCAGGCATCAAAACGAGCAAGAAGGTACACCCGACAGCCTGACTTTAGCCCGCTGAGACTCGGCGTCTTGCACATACACTGTGGCGGGCCGCAACAAGTAAGGCTGGGCTACCCACGAATAGTCGACCAGATGCGGAAGCGATGGCCTTACGTACCCGTCCTGCGAACTAGGATGCTGTCAACCCGAAAAGCGACCGCGGATTTGGGAACAGTATCTAATCATTGCCAACCAACCGGACCTAACTCCTACAACCTTTATATAGAAAATCTAATAGCTAATCTCGAAATAAGCATGAAAGGGTAATAAGATAGTAACCACACCACTTCTTTTCAGTTGAGAACGAGGCTACGCCGCAGATAGGCAGACCCGGGTATGCCCTCCCCCCGTCTTTCTCGGCCAAGTACTCCGTAGCCATCAGTTTTGATCAAAGATCTTCTTTTTTGCGATGGCGAAAGCGAAGACATTTTCTCGGATGAACATTCAACCAACCCTATAACATGCAAAATAGTGAAAAGTGCACAACCCACAAACGTCATATCCACACCCCTCGAGACGACGCGCAAAACACCAAGCGAAAAGCCGCAGCCGTGGTGGTGACCACCCCCGCAACAAAGCCCTTGTTCCTGCTGCTGACGTAGTGTGGTGCCGATGTTCGCCGGCAGTTTGACCGGTAGGAGCGCCATGCTTGTCCCTTCTCACTGGTCAGACAAGACTGCGAAATTCAGTTTCGCCGATGTCCATGGTCGGCGCGTTGGAGGCGGGAGGCGATATCGTATGAGAGAGGATTTGAAGGATGGAATGCCCCGTTGGGTATGCTGGCCGATGCCGAAGTCTCCTGGGTAGGCGAGCGAGCGCATGGGGGGTTGGTGAGAGGGGTAGACTGGGATTTAAAGTGAGCTGGCGGCCGGCATGGCGGTTTCTTTGGTGTTTTGTGTCGGTTCCTCTTTCCTCCACCTGGGTACACGCCTTTAGATTGTGGTGCACAAGGCGCCGCTAGTGGCCCATCAGGGTCAGGCTGCGCGATGAAGGCACTACAGGTGATCGCACCCACGTTTTGCTTTTTGCTGCAAGGTCCGTCTTGTACCTGTCAGATTGTCCCCACTGGAAAGCGAAGACCCTTTGTTATCATATACGCCTTGGTAATCCATCTCCATCGCGTTCGGAGTTCGTTCGGTCAGACGGGCACACCACCCCAGCTCTCTGGCGTCGCGCCTGTTCCCAGGAAGATGCAGCGTGCATCGAAGCGATCGAAAAATTTGCGCCACCGCGATCCGTTCCTGGACTATCGTCTAGCGGTGTTACCGATCCCGCGATCGCGATCCCGAATCCAGATGTCTACGTTTGGGAGGTCTTCGTAGACCATATGTGGCGTCTGCAATGGACGATCGGGGTAAAGTATATTCCATGGCATTGCGTATCTGAGTAGGTATACGGTATCTGAACGCTTCAACTCCCGCACCAGGCGAGAAACCGCTATTATTACTCTTCCATCGCGTCCGATTCATTCCCTCACGCGGACCCTACAACGTCTAACCGTAGGTGTATCCCATATTCGGTGCGCCTCCAGGCCCTGGTGCTGTCATCATTGGATTCATGGGGCCAACCGGCACATTGGGCATTTCCGCATTCGAGAACTCAAATCCGGCCGCCCAGTCGTAATCGGGAAATTGATCAAGCATTGGCGGCACTCCATAGTCTGGACCTTCCCAGGCATCGAAGCTCATTACGGACGGGTCCTGTTGCATCTGAGGATTCACCAAGCTGGGGTCGAATTTGGTCACTGGGAGTTGTTGTTGCTGTCTGATCGAAGGATCCGGAAGTTGCTGCTGGTGCTGCTGTGGGTGTTGTTGTTGTTGGGATGGGTATTCTGACATGTTTGTTAGTTAAGAGTCCGTCAGACTTGACGTAAGATGCTTACGAGGTGGGTTCTGCTGGACGTTCTCGTGCGAAAGAGTTACTTCGTCGCCGTACGGATTCTTCATGTTGCTGAACTCTTCTCGCCAGTACCAGAACATGTCGTAACTAATGCTCATGCTCAATCGCGTCCTCAGCCTCAGATATAGCGATTCCACACGGCCATCCTTCTTACGGAACACTTTGTCGCTACCCCACAAATCCTTCATGATGTGCGCAGTTCGGAAATGGATATCTCCTGGTTGTAAAGAAACGTTCTTAAGGAAATCATACGCTTGTGAGAAAGCTCGCTCGCCCGCAAGTACATCCAGATGTTGAGCAAGCGGACTTCGAACGAGTCTAAGAATGGTAAACCCAGCCAGAGTAATAGTTCGGTCAATGAATGATTGTGAGACGGAGGGTAAGAAGATCTTTTGTGTCGTCTGCATCGTCGAAGCGGATTGGATAACTGAGATGCAAAGGGAGTAGAATCGTGACAGACCCTCGGCATCGGGTCCAGGGTTCGTGGGGTGGGCGAAGAAATGGAACGCCATTACGTGAATACGTGCACAGCTGAGTTGCAGGGTATCTATTTCGTTAGCTCAAGTCAAGTTTTGAAAGAGCCGGGTCAGACTTACCGAGTTCACTTGGAGAAGATGGGGCCAAGCTGAGGAGTTGCGAGTCGAATATGCCAATCAATGATCGTAATACACGGACATCACAATGAATGGACTGTAAGTTGGTCTTGCCCATGGCAACCATGGCACGCATAAGGATGATGTAGACTTTGTGCAGGAATTGCAGGTCAGACGGGAGGTATGGAACCATGTCTTCACGGTCTTGTTCATCGCCATCGAAGAATGACTCAGCAAGAGGTGGTATACCTTCAACACAGCTCGTTCTAGATACGGTTAGCGTATGTCACAGTGTTACTTCTTTTGTGACCTCACCTTATCGAAACGATGACGCAACACAGCCAGAGCCTGGCACGTTGCACCTTGAGCGACTGGTCCTTCTCAAGCGGCGTCCTAGCAAAATCCTGGCCAACACCTGCTATGTGCAGACCAATCTGTGTTGCTAGATGTACTGCCGATCCACACATGAGGTGTGTCGTATCTTTGTACATTGAGTTGGTGGGTAGTCGCCATGTGCACAGAATCAGTAGACCTTGGATGATCGGAACTTGTGAGGTGCGTAGCGCCATTGAAGAGAACGCGAGCTGGGTGATGGGCTGGCTCGTCCTTTCTAGGACTTCATGTTCAGAGTACCGCCGCGATCCCGTGACCACGATAGTCCAAAACAAGAACGGCGATTGGTCATAATAGTCATTCGGCCCTATTGAAGGGTCCAAGATAGGAAACAGTGGATGGTATTGGGTGAAGTAACTGCAGTCATGTTAGCATAGATAAGAACGACATTCTGAGTCAACGTACATGGTGAAGCAATCGTCGATTCTCTTTGAATCGAGCAGGTAGCCATCAATCACACGCGGTACCGTGCCGTGATGATCGGAACCTTTTCGCGTCGGTGGCCGCGAGTCGAAAGCTGGTGACATGGAATCTGATGCATCTGTCCTTCCGGAAGGATCAGAATATGTGCCCGAAGCGTGTTCGAGCGGACCGTAGTTTTGCATGTCGACGGTCGGTGATGCTGTCGATTGCGGGTAGTTTGCATCGCCAGGATTCTGCCCCTGCCTCATATTCCATCGCAACTCTTCCAATTCGCGTCGCATCTCAGCCTTTGTTTGGCGCAGGTTCCTGGTCGACGTGGGAAGAATGCGGCATTCGAGGCCCATCTTCTTGCAGCGGCCGCATGGGTCATGCGGTACCTTGTGCTGCTCGACATCACATCGGATCTGCCAAAGAAATGATCAGTAAACCATCTTCGCCATTGCGGACGTTGTCGCGATGCATTGAGGTGGGGAAGTACCTTTTGCTGTCGGCACTCGACACATGCCTTCCGTCGCGGAGTGGTCATGCTGGCCTGATTCATCTAGTAGGTATCCACAGGGAGTTGGCGAGCGGCAAGCATAGACTACTATAGTATTCCGCGTCTCAATCGGCGAAAAAAGGCATATAAGAAGGTGTAAGGTAGGAACTTCGCCATGAACTGAAGAACCACACTCGCGATTAGCACCTACGTCGTCATCAGGGCCTGTTGCAGCGGTGCGAATCGGATGGCGGGGGAATGGGACCGAGTAAAGGACCGATGGTGATCCTTTTCTCAGCAAGCACGTCTCAAAGTTTTTTCTCAGCGTCCCTTGGCTTCTCGCCCTGTGCTAAATGTTTCTCTTAATAATGTGCCATGCTAGACGACGCTCGTGCGCAATGAGGCTAACAGGCTTTGTTGTCTGTGTGGAAGGAATGCATGTCGAGACGCACGCGATTTTCATCGGGACCCACTTTCGCGCCTAAGCCCATGCGGACCTAGTGTTTTGCGTAATGCTGTCTGAGCACTGCACTACTTGCATGGCCTGCCGCCATGTCATGTTGAGTGAACGCATCTCTTACACTGTCACCCAAACAGTCCATCTGTTGGGCACTCAAGCTTTTGTGATCACCGTGGCGCAGCCGTTTTGCCACGCCTAGCTGGGGAGCCAGCCACCGCGGCCCTTCTCTCCGCCGCTGCTCTTCACCATCAACCACCTCGCTCTGCCAGCCCTCAAACGTGTTTGGTGGGTCGAGTCAATGCAGTCGTACCTGATCCTCATCTTGGATGACACCCCTTGCCCAGATCGGGCCTAGCAGGCACGAACGTCCCAGTAGCTTCACTCCGTGGGCGGGCGCTACCCATCCGGTGTCGACGGCTCAAGTTCGCGTTTAGAGTTCGTACGAAGCCACTTTGCCAGGCATTCGACTCCGGCATTGCACTCGTTGCGCCACATCGAAGCGAATGCGACGTGAGGAGGGTTGTGTGCCATGACAATGCGTCTGTGGCTGCCGCCTGATTCCGCCTCAAAAGCAATGAACGAC